AGATTTTTTCTCTTATGATCAAAGTTAACGCTGTTTTTATCTTTATACTCTGTAAGCTGCCTGGAGTAGATTCCTGAATTTAGATGGGGGGCATTGTAAAAATGGAACAAATACATAAATAAATAAAATAAAGAGCTTCTCTTGCGGGCGGGGGGGGGGAAGAGAGAGAGATTCTTCTAATCTACAGAGAATGGCACGTCTTTCCTCAAGGGATGCTCATGAGGAGTGGCGATTTTCAAAACAAAGCCATTTGAACCACCCGTTTAGAAGTCTGTGACTTTAAAGATAGCCTTCTGGGACAGACAAGAAAAGATAAGAATCCCAGGGAAGAACTCAAGCATCCATCAGGTTTGCCCTGAAATGGATTGCGCTTAATGGTACAGGGAGCAGGCAAAGCCGGAGAGCTGGTTCCAGTCGCAAAAGATACCAGCTTTTGTTGTGCTGTGTAGTTGGTTGGATAAGGCACTGTTATCTTCCCCCTGAAGACAGCAGCATCTCTGCCCTGGGTGATGAATCACCCCTTCCAATTCATCAGGAGCAGCTCCAGGGCAATCAGCCATAAATATCCTTCTCTCCCAAAGATGTCGGTGTAATTGCGTTAGGGCCCCAATTCATCATGCTTAACTCCTGGCAAGGGAGATGACACGGATCTTGCCAGGGCCATTTAGGGAAACAACAGACCAAAATCAGTTTGGGCTCCACCCTCTCGGTCGTCCCCCACTTTCTGAAACAGAGCTGAGATGGTTTGCACAGGACTGACGCGGAAGTGGCCTGGATCCCAAGACAGTGGAATCTAGGGATCGGCGAGAGTTTGGCCTCAACTCATTTTTTAAAATCAGAATCTTCCAAAATGCACAGACTTCTGGATATAAAAGGAAGAGCCTGAGAGTAAAAAGAAAAAAAATTAAAGCAGGAGAAACCAAAATAGATAGAGATGTCCATTCAGAGTCAGAACTTTGATTGTTAACTTTTAATTCCCTGGCTTTGAAGCCCTGTGTACTTAACTATCTTGAACTAGATTTGACATCCCTTTCTCCCCGCACCAAGAGTCCCCCTGTCTTCAACGTTTTCATTTATTGATTACATTTACATCTCATGGGGATGTGGTGGCGCTGCGGGCTAAACCGCAGAAGCCTCTGTGCTGCAGGGTCAGAAGACCAATCAGTCGTAAGATCGAATCCATGCAACGGAGTGAGCTCCCGTCGCTTGTCCCAGCTCCCGCCAACCTAGCAGTTCGAAAGCATGCAAATGCAAGTAGATAAATAGGGACCACTTCGGTGGGAAGGTAACAGCATTCCGTGTCTAAGTCACACTGGCCAGATGACCACGGAAGATTGTCTTCGCACAAAACGCTGGCTCTATGGCTTGGAAACGGGGATGAGCACCGCCCCCTAGAGTCGAACACGACTGGATAAAAATTGTCAAGGGGAACCTTTACCTTTACCTTTACATCTCAACTTTCCATACGAAGGTGAAGCTCAAGGCAACTCACAGTATTATTATAAAATAATAAAAGCAAATAAAACCCAGTAGGTGATGTGCAGGCATGGACCTCTGCATGCCAGCAGCTATGGTGACCCTTGCCCCTCTATCTGCCCAGTGAAGCCAATTTTAATTTTATACGTTCTTCAAGCGCTGACACAAATTTGAAAATCGCATATTTGAGACGGGGAGGGAGGGAACCACACCTTGAGGATTCAAAAAATGGAAGATGGAGGAAAAAGCAAAATGGACAAGATGTCACTCCTAGTAAAACTCCAAAATATGCACCACGAGCATATCAAGGGAATACCTCTTGAGCGGATGTTTGTGATGTCATTTCACTGCTGATTTCAATGAAAGAATCACCACCACTGGGAAGGCCCTTGAGACTGAGATTTCTTTGCCTGTCAAGTGGTGCTTAGGTTAGACTCCATTTGCACACAGGAGTACGCCAGATTTCTGGAAAAGCCTGGCTTCCTCGAAATCCATTTCCAGACACAATTCAAAATGCTGGTTTTATCCTATGACGCCCTAAATAGCTTCTGCCCAAGCTATCTCAAGGACCGTGTCCTCCCATGATGAGCCTGCTCAGGTGTTAAGACCATCAGGAGATGCCTTTCCCTCGGTCCCACCACCCTTACAGGGGCAATTGGTGGGGACACAGGAGAGGGCTTTCTCTGTGGCTGCTCCCAGACTCTGGAACTCCCTCCCACTGGAGGCCAGGCTGGCTCCATTTTTTCCTGTCTTTCCACAAGCAAGCAAAGACCTTTCCCTTTGGGCAAACTTTCCCTTAGTGACTGGCAGCCTTAGCGGGGTTTTTAAACCAACTGTTGTGCCTTACTGCTTTGAATGTGTTTTTGGTGTTGCTTCCCTTTACCATTTCTTAGAGTGGTGCTTGTTTGATCCTTTTTAGTATTTGTATAATCATTGTTTTTAATCTTTAAAGTCTTTTAGTGATGTAAGCCGTCTTGCAGTCCGTTTTAAGGAGAAAGGCGCAGTAAAAATATTGTGTGCAAACCAACCAGCTGGGTGCTAGCAAACACAACGTCTCCATTTTCCATTTGGTAGGAGAGGCTAGCCAAACCAGAAGGCTTAAAGCTATGCATGTTAGCAGAACCGGTGTTCCTGGCTTGGTAGACACAAACATGCCAGGATTTGTGATGGAAGAACAAACCCTCAATTGTTTGCCTAGATTGTGACAGATGCAATAAATCCTAGTTAAGATGACCCATTAAGCTTCTGGCTTCTGTTAGTTTAGCTGTACCTGCTGGTAGCTGGTACCGACAGGGAGCAAACGGAGCATGTACCAGGATGAATCCTTTCCCCCAGGAAGCCAGGATTCTCCCGAATAGTGCTCTAGTGATCATTGACATCAGTTTGATTCACTTTGGTACAGTATAAACATGATTAGTAGGGGTAATTCATTGTTCAGAACAAACCCTGATGAAACACAGAGAGGTCAATTCTGGGAGTGCGAGCACTCAACTTGAGTGTAACCGGCTTTCCAGGAACACCGGGTCATTCCCAGCAAGATGTGTGGCAGGCGAGAATGATTTTACAGGAGTAATTTCAGAGGATGGGTGGAAAGCAACCAAATCCAGTCAATACCATGGGAAAATTCACACACGAGTAGAGTAAGTCCCACTTCATCTGTACGCTAGACACTCTGAGGTTACGATCTAGCAGAGGAAGAGACTTTATACACCCCCCCTCCAGATGCCGTGGGACTACAGCTCCCATCAGCACGGGTCAGGGCTCCACCTCTGTGCCTATTTCACGCTGCGAGGGGCTGTGTGATCATCTCAGTGAAAGGGATCAAAGAGATGTGTAACAGATCCAGAAAACATGCCCTCCATTGAGGCGCTGGAGCTTTTCCATCAATTACGGCAGGTGATAAAGGCACGTTGTAAACCAAGTATTGTTAAGTGATGTGGGGAAAGGGAGGCACTCTTCAAAAGAGCAAGCCGGCTGCAAGGGTTCTCTCCCCCCCCACCTTTCCACCCTGAGCACTCTTGATCTCGCCTGGTCTTGGAAGCGAAGCAACCCCGAACAGTCCTGGGAATGGGTCCCTTACAGATAGGGCCAAGTCAAGAAACCAACCCTTCCCAAAACTCTACAGCAGCCATTCTCAATTGGGGGGCTGGGGGAAAAGGAAGCACGGGGCCTGCGGGGGTGGGTGAGGTTGGTGCATTTGAAGGGGGCCACAGACTGGAAACAATTCTTCACACACCACCTTATACAATCCTGGTTTGGCCTATATGTCATTCATATTGTGTGTTTTTCACCTTCAGACAAAAAAAAAAAGGTTGTGAATGGCTGCTCTAGAGAGGCACGGCTGCCAGCCAGGATTAACAGTTCTGGGCTGGATGGGCCAAGAGTCTGGCGCGGTAAAAGGCGGCTTTCCCTACGCCTGCCATGCACGGTCCTCTGCTGCTAGCTTAGACCCTTAACGGAAGGGCGTCCAGGCTCTCTCACCATGGCTCGAGCTTCCTCTCGTATGGATGGAAGAGCGAGGATGCTGTAAAGCGCCCCGTTCACATAGGGATGTATCTGCAAGGAGAGAGAACACAGTCAGCCGCCCTGAAGCACTGGGTTCTTCAGCCCTAAGCCTCTCCACTTCCCTCCCGCCCCTTATGGAGATTCCTCTCTTCCTCATCCCTTCCCTGCACTGCCACAGATTCTCGCCCTGACTACCCTGTTATGCCGCAAACTGAGGAGGAGAGAGCCGGCAGGGCCGCACCTCTCCAAAGCCATCCACAATCTGTTATATGATGGAGCTGACCTTGTGTTAGGATACACAAGATGATGACAGGAAGCGCTTTGAACACACTATTTGTTTTACTTATGTTTGTATTTTCTCAGAGCAATTGACACAGCAGTTAAAACAATTCAAACCACTTAGGAACACACAAGTTAACACAAGAGAAGGTGTGCCTCCTGCCTTTGCTCAAAGCACAGGTCTTTATCTTCAGAGCCCCAAATGACTGGGGCCTGTTACTTTAGCGGCTGTACCCTTCAGCCTGAGCTTTTACCTCCACGAGGATTGACTGAGGAGGCCCGCCTACATTTCCCACCACCGTCTGAGACATTACCAGGGCAAAGCAGGAATAGGTGTTGCTGCACCCCAGGCTATAAACCTTCTATCACAAGAGAGTCGCCTGATTCACTTCCCGTTGGCATTCTGGCATCAATGGAAGCTCTGTCTCAGCAGCACGCCTTCAGGCTGATGTATGGACAAGCTCCTTATGTTGGGCTATTTCTCTGTTCTTTTATTTTCAGGACTATTTCTATGTTACGTTATTTTTCAAGCTACCTCTGCCCTGTGTCAACCATGCACTGCAGAAATGTTTAAAAGCTGCTATCGAGACAAGAGTTCCCAGTTTTCCACTTGTCCCGTCGAACCCAAGCAGATGACGGGCACACCGATTTCTCCAGATGTTGAAAATCTGGAATCACAGAGCCACATGTGGGTTTATGGAGAAGGACAGATTGTGTTTTAGGATCCAATTGATATTCAAAGAAATAGTCTTCCAGGACTGTGACATAATCCCAGGAACCAGCAGTCTGGAATTCAAATGGGCTTGATCACAGTGGTGTTCTTTTTCAGCCATCATCTGACATGCTCTGAATTAAGGGGGGGGGGGGGGAAGGCCTTTGTACAGGCCAGACCACTTTAAGAGACAAAGGGAAATTAGCCATGAGTGAATCTGAGATCGTTAAAACAACCCAGGACTTTATCTGGAACAAATTAAGCATACCGTATTCTTTTCTGAGTTCTAAAAAAAGGTTAGTCTTCATCTGACCTCTTTGCTACATCAGTAGATATAAGCTATAAAAGTACCTCATGGTTCTCATGACCAAGAAGATCTGAGAGCACTCTGAGCACCTCGTTTGCTGTTTTTGCACACGTCTTCTTCCCTGTGGAGATTCAGACACAAAACATTGGATTCCAGAGAGTCAATCGTAAATGCTACATCCAAAGCAGCCTGTTTTCTCAAAAGCTCAGCCTTCAACGTAATAGAATAGCAGTTGAAAAAAGAATCAGCCGATCTAAAGGGCAGCCGATCTAAAGCCACTGATCGGCTGCCCTGACTCCAGGGAGACTAGGCTCCAAAGGGTTTGGAGAACAAAATGGCAACCAGGTAAAGGTAAAGGTAAAGGTTCCCCTTGCCAATTTTTGTCCAGTCGTGTTCGACTCTAGGGGGCGGTGCTCATCCCCGTTTCCAAGCCATAGAGCCAGCGTTTTGTGCGAAGACAATCTTCTGTGGTCACATGGCCAGTGCGACTTAGACACGGAACGCTGTTACCTTCCCACCGAGGTGGTCCCTATTTATCTACCTGCATTTGCATGCTTTCGAACCGCTAGGTTGGCGGGAGCTGGGACAAGCGACGGGCTCTCACTCCGTTGCGTGGATTCGATCTTACGACTGCTTGGTCTTCTGACCCTGCAGCACAGGCTTCTGCGGTTTAGCCCGCAGCGCCACCACTGGCAACCAAGCCAACTCCAAATGCCAAAGATGATCATTAAACTCAGAAGAGTTGTCTTATTAAGTGATTACTCCGGAATCCAGACACAAGGGTAAGGGGGGGGAAGGGATAAACAATACATCAGCGTCAGCTACCGAAAGCTCTGCCCAGATTGCCAAACCTTTGCTTTTCTAACACAGACTGTACTGCGGTGCTCATACCTGCACTCCGAAGGCACAGGTTCATGAGCAGGGCAACAGAGTAAGCCAACGTGTAATCGGACATGCTGTCTGTATCCTTCAGAGCATCCACCAGCCACGGGATCAGCCCATCCTTGATCATAGCGGACTGCAAGGCTCGCCTAGGAAATTGGGAAACCGTAATGAAAACAGCTGTTATCGTTTGACTGTTGTCATTATATGCCACCAAGCGGCTTCTGACTTATTATGACCCTATGAGGTTTAGAAGGTATGGGAGATCTTCATGGCGTGGTTGACCACTGCCATCCTCCAGTGAGTTTTCTCATGGTGGAGTGGGGAATCTGAACCCAGGTCACTTGACTCCTAGTCTGCCACCATGTTCACTCCCCTGGCCTACTAGAATCTGATAACCAGGCAGAAATTGCTCGGAGAAGCACTGCTTAACACTTTGACTTCATGTACCAAAGAAAAAATGCTTCCCTTGGAGAACCTCGGAGGTATACAAGGTGTACTGAGGGCTAGGCAAAGGATGGGCAGCGTGGTTAGGAGTTGGATTTGTGCCCTTGTATTTCCTCCCCACCCACCTTCCAAATTCCAGGGCCCAACGAAGCAAACTGGTGAGGACTCCTTCATGGCAACGATGGTGTGACGCCGTACATTTTATACACTGATCCACCTTCCAAATTCCAAGGCCCAACGAAGCAAACTGGTGTGACGCCGTACATTTTATACACTGACTTGCCTGCATCAACATCGCCAACCATTTGGGTATGAAGAAGTGGTCTCGGCGGAAAGCTTGACACAATACACAAGAAGCTGAAATCCAATGCTACAGGATTGCAACAGGAACAGGGCCACGGAATCAGTGCAACTTTCGGAGGAGTTGTATTCCCGAAGGCTTACACGGCTGGGATCTAATGGTTGTTGTGGGTTTTCCAGGCTCTTTGGCCGTGTTCTGAAGGTGGTTCTTCCTGATGTTTCGCCAGTCTCTGTGGCCGGTATCTTCAGAGGACTGGAGTAGGAACCCTGTCCATGCTCTTTTGCTGTTTGTTGGATAGTTGAATATTTATAGCTGTGGGAACAGCTTTTGTCCCTTTTCAGGAGATTGGGTGATGATGGTGATCAGCGTGTTTTTGTTGTGGATGTATTGTTGTGGTAAGTGGAAGAGATTATCTGTCACTTTGATTGATGGGTGTCTTTAGCTGGTCTTTTTTGTGCAATGATCCCTGGTCCTTGTGGCTGGGTAGAGTTCGTTGACCTTTTGCAGGCTGTATTTTCCAGTGCTGGGACCCAGGCCTTAAGTTTTAGACTTTCTTCTTTCCTGTTGAAGCTCTGCTGGTGTTTATGGATTTCAATGGCTTCCCTGTGCAGTCTAACATAATGATTGCTGGTGTTGTCCAGTACTTCAGTATTTTGAAATAGAATTTCCAAATACTGTCAAAGTAGGACAGAGTTCCTACTCCAGTCCTCTGAAGATGCCGGCCAGAGAGACTGGCGAAACGTCAGAAAGAACAACCTTCTGAACACAGCCAAAGAACCCGAAAAACCCACAACAACAGTTTCAGAAAGGGTCAATCACCAAATCCTCACAGATTCAATGGGCTCTCATTGTGGCTTGCTACAGGATTTCAGCCGCTGTGGAAAGGGTCAATCACCAAATCCTCACGGATTCAATGGGCCCGCTCTCGTTGTGGCTTGCTACAGGATTTCAGCCGCTGAGTCTCAGAGGCAGTCCAACGGCCTCTACGCCGAAGGAGGAAACACATACAGAAACTGGCCCTCTGTGGGGTGTTCTCCTTCACCAGCCTCACGGAAATGGGAAGGACTGGCGCAAGGCACGTGGTGTGTCATTGCCAAGCCCCTGTTCCCTTCAGTGGAATCTCCAATGGCGAGACACTTGGGGCGTAAGACACCTCATGAGTCAGACACCTCTCTCTCCAATCTGCCACCTTTTATGGCACCTGAAAGGCCAGTCAGCCTGCCTCTGAGGAAAGGAGGCGAGACAACCATGTCTTGGGGGAAGGGGGAGCATAATTAATAATATAAGGTAATACCATCACATACTGGAACATTTCACAAGGAAAATCAGCTTGGAATGTGTTTGTTGAGGACAGAGCGGTCCTCTGAAACGGCCTCACGTCAATTATCTGGCCAAGAAGAGGGCAATCAAAGTCCAGAAGAAGAGATGAGAAGATAATTGGGTTTCGGTGGGGAAGCCATAAATATTCCTTCCGATAGCGACACAGTTAATGTTTCACTCAGCTCAGCTGAAAAATCCCGTCACCTTTTTACGTCTCTGTGCCTCTCACTCCCTTTCTTCAAATGTTTAAATAAGCCATGGCTCATTAAAAATATCTAATAAAGAAGCATATTTGCGCCTTCCAGAAGCTTTTATTGGCCATTATTATCTGGACCTACCTGTTCCCTTTCCCCATCAGATAGTTGTCTTATTAACTCTTTACCCACCAAGTCCACTCGGCTTTTCCGTAAAAGGTTGCAGAAGGACCTTTTTTGCCAATTAACTACAGAAGGTAAAGCTCCCTGCGTGGTTTGACATGTTTCTTTAAGGCAAGAGAAGAAGGAAGCGGAGAATAACATGAGCAAGGTCCTGCTCCACCCAATTCAGAGCACCGGAACAGGGTTTTCTGCCTTGCCACCTCTTGAAAGGGCTCAGAGCCTCCAAATGGCACAGCATGCAGCCACCAAACTCTTGTCAAGGAACAGGGAATTCTCCTTAGCTGCTTCAGCTGTGGATGGGCTGTGGATGCACCTTTCAAATTCCCTCCAGGAAGCAAATGGACCTCGTTCAGTGCCAACTCTTCCTGGATAGCTAGACGGGGGAAAAACGGTCGCACCCGTGCGCTGATGGGGCAGCCCCCTTTTCCTCTGCACAATAATAATTCTAGGAGGCTAAAAAGGGAAGAGTAAAAACTAAATGGCAGCCGACAGACGAGGATTCACTTAGGAGGTTGGTGCACGCACTGCTGATCTCACAGACTGACTACCGCAATGCTCTCTACGTGGGGCTCCTCCTGAGCCAGAGCTGGAGACTACCGTGGGTCCAGAACGTGGTGTACAGACTGGTAGTTGGTTACAAGCACATTTGACTGCATCACTCCAGTCTTCACAAGCCTCCGCTGGCTCCCCAGTGTGTCCCAGATCATGTTCAAAGTATAAAGCCCTTCATGGATTGGGACCATATTATCTGGTAGAGCGACTGTCCCTAATGTCTTCTTCTACCCAACCTCTAGAGCCTCTCAGGTCAGATGCCTCCGGGTAGCCGCTCCGAGAGAGGCCCGAAAGTCAATCATTCGAGGCAGGGCCTTCTCGGTGGTAGCACCCAGGCTATGGAATCGGCTCTCGGAGGAGCTACACTTGACTTCTCCCTGTTCTCATTTAGGCTTCTCAACCCAAACCCAGCTGAGTGTCTCCCATCTGGTACGCTTTATTGTGAAAATCTGTTGGTGCCCTTGGCTTTTTAAGTTTACGCTCTGCCGTTGCTATTTACACTATATTTTACTGTCCGCTATTTGTTTGGTTTGGTATTTAATTGCTTGCAAACCACCCAGAAGAGTGTGTCAGCACTAACGGGACGGTATATGAATTGAAGTAATAAATTAAATCAATTAAATAAATGAATACAGAAATGAATGAATGAATGAATGAATGAATGAATGAATGAATGAATGAATGAATGAGACTACTATAGTGAACCATGCTGTAGGAAAAACTAGGAAAAATGTGGACTAATTCATATGCTTACATTCTGATCTGACTATCAAGGTAAAGTTCTCCTGTATTCCTAAAAGTGAGCTGTTGAATAACATTGTTAATTATTTAATAGAGAAATAAAGGCCAAGAAATAAAAGCCAATAACTATTTTAGTGATACCTAAGGACTTGATTGAGATGTATAAAATTATGCAGGGGATGAATATAAAGTGGAAAGAGGGAAGCTCTTTTCCCTCTGATGCCATACCACAACCAGGCGTTATCCACAAGGGTTGGGAGAGTGAGAACAGACAAAAGAAAATCTTTCTTGACCCAGCGTGTTGTTAGTTTGTGGAACTCCTTGCCACAGGATGTGGTGATGGCCTCAGGGCAAGATGCCTTGAAAAGGGGATGGGACAGATTCCTGAAGCAAAAGTCCCTCGCAGGTGACAAGCCATGATGGGGAGGTCTAATCTCCAGGCTTCGAAGGAAGGGACCTCCAAAGGCCAGATGCAAGGGAGGAGGATCAGTTCTCTAGTGGTCTCGTGGGCTCCTAGAGGCATCTGGTGGAGCCAGAAGCTGGACTAGATGGGCCCTTGGCCTTATCCAGCAGGGTTCTTCTGATGTTCTTATGACTGTGACCATTTTTAAAAAAACATGTAGATCCAGCTTTTTGAAAATGGTATGAATATAGGTGGGGAGAGATCCTGCTTCTTTGAGAAATTTGAAATTTATCACGGAAGAACTCATGCAATTTATATTCATATAGTCTGGGATTCGGATGCAAGCAAGATAACACTGGCAATTCACACTATATGATACTGAGTAAAGTAGTGGATATGAATGACATCCATAAGTATCTCCTGAGAGCTTTTTACATTTTTTGCTGAACGTCAAATTATTACTAACAGTAATAGGTTTTCATAGAGGAAAAAGCTATAGATCATCCTATACTAGTTCCTTCTCTCTCTCTTTAAAGGATCTGAAAATGATGACGTTAACATAGTCTGTGAGAAGTGAAAAATGTGCAGAAATATGCATCACCATATTGCATGCTGAATATGTTCAGGCTTTAACAGGTATGTACTGTTAAATTGAAGATGGAATGTAAAAATACATCAACATGCAGCCAGTGCATCAAGGCAGAACCATGGTGATGACTGGAGCATTTCTTTAAAAAACAAAACTAAAGGAGGACAGCTTTGCCAGCCAAAGGCCTGCTAAGCACTCCTCCTTGGCTCGAAGGGACAGTCCTGTCATCAGCTTTGGGAGATTCTGCCCCTCCCACTACCCTTGGACCCAGCCCGACACAGCCCGGGTTTCTTTTCCCCCCTGTCAGCGGGGCCCCCACAGCTTTCATCACCTGAGGCTGAGTTTCTGCAAAGCCCCCAGGACGTTCTCTCGGGTAAGGGAATACTTGTCTTCGGTTTTCAACCTCTCTTCCAAACTTCGGAGCAAGCGGGGACTCTGGGAAAGGTAGAGCCGACCTAGGGCAAAAGAAGGAGGCAGGTGTGAAGGAGGGAGAGCAGCTGGGCCAGGCGCTTCGCCAGGTCCTGGCAGGACTCCCCATGTCACCCACACTCTTCTGTTGGCCTGCTGTTCTTTTTTCCCTACACCTTAGATTGTTTTCTTTCCGTATTTCTAAAGGGCACTGCCTTCTGCAATCACAGGGAAAGGTGGGACTGCCAGGTCCCTCCGCTGGTACCTGTTCCCTCACAGACCACTGCTGTTCCACCAGGCTGTATATGACCGAAAGGCGAGAAGCCGGGGCCTCCATCATCTTGGCTGAAACGCTGTGTTGTTTGTGAAATCCCTTCTAATAAGGGTCTCCCTCTGCACTCCTTCCATCTGGCTATGTCTCAGAGAGGTGAGGCAGTGAAGTGCCTTGAATCAGGCCAGTGAGAGCCAGCCAAAAGCCTTCATAGACTCTAGGCTTGCTCGCCAGTCTCGTATTTGTGCCGAGGTGCGCTGAGCATGTGTGCATGAAGAGTCTGGGAACAGCAATGTCCCTCTTAACAACGGCCATGAGGCGTATGAGCCACTCTGTCCAAGCGAGCGGCTGCAGTGTCCCACGCAGTGCCCCACAGACAAACGGCGAAGCCTCCCAGGGCTATCATCACACTGCTCTGCTATCCCATGGAGGACCATCCTGCCCAACCTGACATCCTGCGCCTTCACACTGACAATGGCCAAGAGACACACCAAGGAGAAACTAGACTTCCCACAACCACAACCCCAGAGGGTAAGAAGCGAAGCCATCGGCTTCCTGAGAAACAGTGAAATTCAGTGCTGAAGCAGCCATTCTAGCAGCATCAGAAACATGTTGCTTTTGACATCGTGGCACAACACAAAGCAGCCTGTGAAGCTGTACATTTGAAACTTGATGTCTACCCCATAGAGACCCATGCAGGGGGAAGGCCTGGAGGCCAATCCCAGGTTCTCTGCCTCCCTGAGAATTGAAACGTTCTGTCCACCAAGACGAGTGAACTGCATCCAAGCCAAATTTCTTGCTGGGCCTGGGACCCAGTGATCCCAGAGAGCACAAGATCCCAAGGCATCTCCTGCCACTGCAAGTGATCAAAGCCCCAAGGTCTGCAGAACCCTCTCCATCCGAACTGTTCATCATGAAGAGAGGTGATCAAGCTCAACTTCTCTACTGTAGCTCAGTGACAAAAGGCAATGTTTTGCACATGGAAAGTCCCAGATTAAAGACCCTTAACTGACACCCTGGAGAACTGCTTGCCGGCCACGTGGAGAACCTTGAGCAAGAGACATTAAGGCTCCAACTCTATGTAAGGGAGGTCCCAATAATGTCCTCCGACTGACTGACTGCTCCACGTACTTGGCAGCTCTGCTCCCTAAACACCTGACTCTCCTCTTCACATCGCTGATACAGAGCCATGGGCCAACAGCATCCACAAAGCACCCCGCTTACCTTCCGCAAGCGAGGCAAAAGCATTGATAAGCCTGGCCATATACTGACGAACCACTTCGCAATTGGACTGTGTCAGCATTAACACATTTCTCTGAAAGAGACAAACAGCCTTTTGTGAGAACAATGGAAGGTGGCCCTTGAATCCTGAGATGAGAATTTGAAAAAGCACTTGCATTTTGCTTAGGTACATTTAAATCAAGAACAAACGGCTTTGTGAGAACAATCCTGAAATGAGAATTTGAAAAAGCACTTGCATTTTACTTAGGTACATTTAAATCAAGAACAAACGGCTGGCAGTTATGCATGTGTAGATGCAGAGAAAACCAACAGAAAAAAACAACAACCAACAACAAGAGGCACTGAAACTATTTTCAGAAATTCAAACCTCTGTTTTGATACAAGAGTCACAGCGAAACTCATTCATACATTTCTCTATCAAGATTGTCCCAAGTAGCTGAATCATAGTACAAATGAAGGAAGATCTTCCGGCTCAGCTGGATTTTAGCTACTGGGTCATCTCTCTTTGCAGAAGATGCACACTCCGACTGAAATGTGACTGTGGTTCATGAACCCACTTCTTCTGTACTCTCAAAGTTTGCAGGATCTGTTCTGTCCTGGTATCAGAAGCTTCACGGGTTCAAATTAAAACAATAACAAAAAGGATTTTGACTGAACATTAGGAGGAGCTTCCTGGAGATATAACCTGTTCCTCCACGAAAACGGACTGCTCCGAAAGGTGGCAACTCTCTTTGATTTTAAGTTTTTTTAAGCACAAGTTGTAAGGGGGCTGGACTAGGTGACCTTGACATCCATTCCAACTCTGCAAATCTATGAGCCTATGAACTCTCAAACTTCTTATGATGTGCTTCGAGTGGTCGACCAGACCAGATGGGTGGGATATAAATCAAATAAATAAATAAATCCAGGTGAGTATCTATGTGGCTAACCTGGACGTTGCTGTAGCAATCCAAAAGGTCATTGTTGATATAAGCCTGAAGAACTGTGTCCCTCTGCTCCCCAGGATGGGATGTTGTCAGACGCTATAAAAGAAACAAAGAGGTTAACATGGGGGGAGGTCCTTTATTTGCCCCAGTGGGCGAAAGATATAACCAGAGATCCTCTGAGGCTATCCATAGGTGCAATTAGTTTGAAGATTTATTTGAATCACAGTGGATAAGCAGAGGATAAGATGGCTGGAGAGGGTCATCGAAGCGACCAACATGACTTTGACTCAACTCTGGGAGGCAATGGAAGACAGGAGAACCTGGCGTGCTCTGATCCATGGGGTCATGAAGAGTCGGACACGACTAAACGACTAAACAAGAAGAATAGTGTTTTATAAAGGATTAACTGAGACTAATTTTGCACAATTGCAATTTCATCCAATACTTAAATCCAGATTGTTCTCCTTTGCACTTTTCATCTCATCATTGCATTGTGTTAGAAACTCTGATTTTCCTTTATTTCTTTTATACTGTGCGATACTTAAATCCAGATTGTTCTCCTTTGCGCTTTTCATCTCATCATTGCATTGTATTGTGTTAGAAACTCTTGATTTTCCTTTATTTCTTTTATACTGTGCCTTATATTGTGTGGCTCTTATTCTCTGTTTATTTGCTGTGATTTAAATAAATCTTCCAATTAATTGCAGCTGTTGATAGTGTCAGATCATCCCTGGTTATGCCTTTCGTCCACTGGGGCAAATAAAGGACCTCCTTTTCAAGAGGCATGTTTTGAATCACCAATAATCAGAAATAGCATCGCATCGAATAAAGCAACATCCTTATGTCTCTGCCAAGCAAGCACGTTGGGCAGTACTACCTATCTATTAGAAAGAATTAACAGAGGACTCCTAGTGATGGATCAAGGCTGCCGACTGAACCATCATGCTTTCTGCATCTGCATCACGGATGCCGGTGGTGGGCCCAGAACTCAGCATCTACAGAAGCTCAGCTTTGATCCACCTTACCTGCAAGGGCATTTGTTTCTCTTTCTCTTCCGAAATGGCTGAATAATGGTTCGGGAAGGGGGGACTGATCTAATAAACAGCATCAATCTGCTTTAGCTGGCTAAACTTCATTTCACTGGCATTCATTTATCCAAAATGCCTCTCTTTCCATCTTAACCAGCCAGCTTATCAAGCCATTTTCTACTGCATTGCATTTTAATGTCTCATTTTCCTGTTCAAGGGGTGAAAGAGGGAGTCGCAAAGCCCCCAAAAGAAGGGCAAAGAGGAGAAACATTAGAAACTCTTGAGCAAGCAGAAATGGACAGTAGGCCACCAGGAATCCCCTTTTCATGGGGAGAAAGGCAGGATACAGAAAGGTCTCAACAAATATCCTCTTGCTAGTCCCAGCCACAGCAGATTTGCTGACAGTAGTATTTACATACATGCTGACTTAGCATTCACCTACTCTGTTCCAATTGGAACCAGCAACAGGATACAGGTACCAGAAAATAAAAAGATTAAAATAAGTAAATTTTGCTAGACAGCATGTTTTTTTTCAAGAACCTGGCATTTTGCATCAGTCCATAATTAAGGACCGGGGGAGTGGGGGGCGGGATGTGAAATTTCCTGTGACATCCTTCTCTTCCTGTTCTTCAGCTCACTCACCCAACGCAAGGCCTGCAGTAAGAAAGCTTTCAGGCGGTCACTCCCCTCCACAAGATCTTTCTTCAGCTTCTCATAATCCAGAGATGGCAAGAGGGGCACTTCGTCAATTTTCCTGCACGATCAATGATAAAGGAAGCAACCGTGAAACCTTCAGCTACTTCCCCTGTTCTCAGGAGGGGGATGCTTTCTAGAGGGGAAGAAACTAGGTCTGATGCTCACAGAGATGGAGATCCTGGTTTAGATACAGACAGGATGCTCACCTGCAACGGCGAGGTTTTAAAGGTTGTGATCTCTGCAGTCATTAAAAAAAATGTTTTTATTGATTTTCAAACAAAAGAACCTGAGTCCATTATTATGTGTCGTGCACTCTGAAACAATTGATAACAGATCCTGCCCCTCCTCTGTAGGACTACCTTTCCAGGATTTGAAACGTGCTATCCTTTCTCCTCTCAGTCTTCTTTTCTCAAGGCTAAACCTGCCCAGTTCTTTGTGTCTCTCCTCCTAGGGCTTGGTTTCCAGTCCCCTGATCCTCCTGGTTGGCCCCCTCTAGAACTTGCTGCAGGTTGTTGGCACCCTTCTTCAAGTGTGATGTCCAGAAGTGGACATGGGATTCAAAATGGGGCCTAGTTAAAGGTAAAGGTTCCCCTTGACATTTGAGTCCAGTCGTGTCTGACTCTAGGACATTGTGCCCATCCCCATTTCCAGGCCGTAGAGCCGCCATTTGTCCAAAGACAGTTTCCGTGGTCATGTGGCCAGACATGGAACGCCGTGACCTTCCCACTGTGGTGGTCCCTATTTATCTACCCGCACTTTTACATGCTTTCAAACGGCTAGGTTGGCAGGAGCTGGGACAAGCGATGGGAGCTCTCTCCGTTGCGTGGATTCGATCTTATGACGGTGGGTCTTCTGACCCTGCAGCACAGAGGCTTCTGCAGTTTAACTCGCAGAGCCACCACGTCCCACGTCTAACCATTGCCAAACAGAGGGGTACTGCTTCACGGGACTTAGAGACGATACTCCTGCTAACCTCCAAAAGGAGCTGTGGAATGAAAGGTGCTTTACCTTCCAGTTAAGTCCCTAGCAACCCTTCTTCCTATTATCAAACAAGGAACTATGGATCCAAAAGAAAAGTACTTACACAGGAACTAAGGAAGCTCTCAACATTGTTGAAGCCTGTAATTTAAAAAAAAGGAGGGAGACAAAGAGTGGATGTCATATGAGAAAAAGCCAAACACAGGTCACGTATCCTTGCCACAATATCAAGTGGTCTCCCCAAAATGGGTTGAAGGCGTTTGTTAAGATCATGGCTTGCTGTCTCCCTTTAGTCACTCCAGGGAGTCCCAAAGATGATAAAATATATGATAAAACCAAGATATCGGACCACACAGGCAAACCCTCCACAGCCTGCCCCCGTCCAGAATACCAAATGTGGGAATACCGTTTCCACAGCTCAACCTTTTTGGCCACTGGCCAGTGATAAAGTTTAAGAAGCCACTAGGTGCCAGTTAAAATTGGCCCCAAGGATCAGGTATGGCCCGTGGGACAACCCCTGCTTTTTAGTTCCTTCAGTAGTAGCTCCAACAATGCCAGCTCATCACAACTCTCGTCGCCCCAAATATTCTGCCATAGGCCTGACCCCGTTTCAGGGTGCAATGATACCCAAGGATGCTGTAGAATTAAAGTATGATTCCGAACACACAGCCAAAGAAATCCAGGGTTAAATTCCAGGAGGTAAGAAGATCCTCAGGAGAGGTATTTCTCTCTGTCCCACCCCATTTGGTGGGGACGTGGGAGAGGGCACTGTCGCTGCTCCCAGTCTCTGGAACTCCCTCCCACTGGAGGCCAGCCTGGCTCCCTCTAGGCTGTCCCTCCACAAAGAAAGAATTCTCAAAGGCTTCCACGGCCGGGATCCAATGGTTGTTGTAGGTTTTTCGAGTTGTTTGGCCGTGTTCTGGAGGTTTTTCTTCCTAATGTTTCACCAATCTCTGTGGCCAGCATCTTCAGAGGACAGGAGCTAGAACATGGAGTGGTGATAATGTAGAACTCTTTTCTACATTATCACCTACAACGACCGACCCACCAAAGACTTTCCTCTTCAGGCAGGCTTTCCCCTAGTGACTGACTGTCTAGGAGACAATAAATGGGACGGTTTATATTTTGTTGCTTCTAAATCTGTTTTTAGTCATGCTTTTGCCTAATATTTTTAATATAATGTCATTAATTCTGTATTTGAGTAATCCACTGTTTTTCACTCTCAACACTGTCTTGCTCATGATGTAAGCCAAACTTTGGGTTCTTTTTTTAGGAGAAAAGTGGGGTGAAATATTTTAAATAAATAAATAAAAGGACATTGGGGAAGCAAGATTTGTAAACCTTGACCCTGTGTATCAGCAACACACTCCTTGTCTTTTTTAAGAACTCTTATGTGTTAAGGTAAAAAAAGAGATGGTTGTCAGCTTAAGAGAAAATTAGGCTCTAGCAGGGATATGGGGTGCTGTTCCCCGAAACCATTTGCTCTTAGGGCTTGCCGTTCATGGCTGAAAAGTATTTCTCCCCCTACCCTGACTTAAGTCACAGAGACCCTTGCAGCCGTGTCGCCTTTTAAATAATATTTAATCTGTTTCAACTGAGCAGTTCTGCTTCAATTACTTGTGAAGGGGAGCGGGAACGGGCCCCAAAAGCAAAATCATTCCCATCACCTCATCCTGTCAATGGGCGTCATTTATTCCCAGAATATACTTTACCATTTCTTTGCCACAGTTATGGCTTTAAAAAGATAGGCCTTCTCTCATGACGCAAAGCCCTTTCAGGGCAAGACTCTATAATCCGTGCCTATTGTTGAGCGTTTGGACGGCAGAGGTTTAGAAAACAAAAGGCATGAAATGGCAAAAAGGAAGATTGGGTTACTCCATTGGACGTACCGGCTGAATACCTGGGGGTGTTTTGCACAGCTATCCTATGTAACACAAGGAGCCTCTCTTTCACCGATGAATAAGTCTATACCTGGCATTTCACATTATGTTTAAATCAAAGAGTGATGATACATAATAGTCAATTAAAAGCTCTGGAGCCCTTAAAATAAACGGTTCCTCAATACACGTGCATCTCTCTTTCTCTCCCTCTCTGCTATCTTTCAGAGTAGAGGCGGCTTCCCAATGTATTATGCTCTGCCTAAGTCTATTTGTATTTCACTCATTTACATTCATTTTCCCAGAAACATCTGAATAACTGGAACACTCCTTCTATTTCAGGGAGACAGACCTGTCCAGGCAAAAGCCACATAACTCCTGTAAGAAAGTCAAGCCGATTTACACTATCTTAGATAGTACCTTATTCAAAATAAATCAAATAAAAATAAAAAAAGATCTTGCTAAAACCTTTTGTAGTGGAGGGGAAAGGCATTTTAAAAATAGATAAAAGGAAGAGAAACAATAAGGGGGCATGCTGAGTGAGCATGAAACTTGCTGAGAATTGCTGAGAATTATTCTGATTCAGTGACAACTTCTAAGAAGAGGTTGGCCAAGGGAGAGCTGGGCCAGAAGGGCAGATGATTCACAGAAGGCTCCTGTTCAGGGTGTCCTGGCCAGCCCTGGTCTCTTGACAGATATTCTGACCCATCTCGTAATCAATAGTCATTCCCACTAAATACCGGGCTCCAGGAACCTAGTGTCCCTTCGCTACTAGGCCTGGAAAATCCTTTTCGGGGAGAAGAGGACATTTACAATTCTTTCGTTCACTCTTCTGCAGCTGTGACCTCCCCATCCTGTATTCCAGTCCGTCCATCTTCTGCCCCCACGGTCCTGCCCCCATCTACATGGCTGTCAGCATTCAGGCCCACCTTCAGAGGGAATGAATGATGAGAGGCCACGAACCATCTATGCACGAAACGGAGACCCCCTCAGTGGGAAAATGTACTGTATTATTGTTTGTACACTCAGGCTGCAAACTGCCCCAAGAGTGGCTTGCACTAGAGGACAGCCTATAAATTCAATTTATATAGCACCCTGTAGTGCTAAAGCACAAGAAAGAAAGAAAGAAAGAAAGAAAGAAAGAAAGAAAGAAAGAAAGAAAGAAAGAAAGAAAGAAAGAAAGAAAGAAAGAAAGAAAGAAAGAAAGAAAGAAAGAAAGAAAGAAAGAAAGAAAGAAAGCTTTGAGCAGGACACAGATTTTGCATGTAGAAAACAGCAGGTTCAAGCTCCCATATATTCTATTAAAGAGGAAAAGCAGGAAGTTATTGGGAAAAGCACCCTCTCTGAGATCTTAGACAGCTACTGCCAGCCGTAGTAAAGAATGCTGTTGTGGTCTAGACAATTCCACAGTTTGACCCAGGACAATCAAGGCCACTTCCTGTGCTCTTCCTATGTTCCTTGGTGTACACTACAGACAAGCGTCCCATAAGAGGGCACTGCACTCTGCCATACACCTGGAATGGTGCAAGCTCAGAATGATGATGAGAAAGGATAAAAGGCTGGGGTGAGCTATACTGGGATCCATTTCCTTGCCCAAGGGAGAAGGTTGGCCATGTCCCTGATTACTTCCTCCAAAAAATGCAAGCTAAGATCCTTAAGAAAATGAATTCTGCACATTATACCAAGTCCGTTATTCCTTCCCACCTTATGGCCCTTGAGTATATCAAAAGAGCCCTTGACAGAAACACCTGAAAAAAGCCCCTGGGAAACATCCCTGTAATGACACTTTATGGAAGAGGCTTGAACAGGACTGTGGCTATTTTTGGAATTTTACCATTAAGATGTGTTCCTGGGTTCTGGTTTAGCTTAGCGGGCCAATATCCTGTCCCGCAGAAAGAATGCTCTGGCTCTGGGCAATCTGGAGCGGTCACGAAAGTCTCTCCACCATGAGGCCCGCATGTCGACGGGCATCGGAGCTTCGGGAGATGCAATCCCAGAACCGTGTCTTGTAGGCCGTCCGCATTTCGCAAAAAGCTCTTCCTCGTTGGACTCCGGTGATGAAGACACAGGAGCAAATAATTACGACTTCGAATAGTCACCATTCTTCCCAAAGCACTTCAAAGCACAGGGTTGAGTAAGACCTAGTAATTAAAGACAGGACTTCCCCTGAGGCTTATAGTCTCAGGGGACAGATGTGAGAGGGATGGGCCAGAATAGCAGCAGAAGCAGAAGATAATGTGGCAATCATCCACTAAATCCACTACAAGTTAACCTTTTAGGCTTTGCAAGTCTCTTGGGAGTGGTCCGAAGCCTGCTTGTGATTGGCCTCACCGGATCTCCCCCCCCCGAAAGTGCCCATCTGTGACCAGCATCATCTACTGTTGCTGGTTGTTGGTTTTTCAGGCTCTTTGGCTGTGTTCTGAAGGTTGTTCTTCCTGATGCTGCGCCAGTCTCTGTGGCCGGCATCTTCAGAAGACAGGATTAGGAACTCCATCTACTGTCTTGAAATCTACCCACAATTAAAATCTGATGGTTTCCCTTACATACAAAGGCAGCCTAGAAAGACTGCACTTGAGCAAAGGTCACCAGCTTCTCTGCTGTATTGTCTACACCATGCATTTCCCACCACTTGGCATCAAGGTACAAAGTTGGCCACTGGAGAACAGCAGGGAGAAGTCAAAACATGGGGATGCTGTGGCAGAAGGGATATTCTAAAAATCTGTTCTCCTTCTGAATAGTGCTGACATTCAGAGGAAGGAGGTGTCTCTTCAAAGGTTGGTGAAGAGGGAGGTAAGCAGCCAGCTCTGCCGAGATGTATCCGAGGGAAAGGGGCACCCATTTTATTGGTGGGAGCCATGTGGGAGACAACGGGCAAGGTTCCACATTGGCAAGACGAGCTACTTTTACATATAAAATCACAGAACGATGGAGTTGTCAGGGGCCTATAAGGCAATCGGGTCCAACCAAATCCAAGCAGATCTGACAGAGGATTGTCCAATTTTCTCTTGAATTCCTCCCGCACTGGAGTGCTCACCAGTTCTTGAGGTCATGGGTTCCATCGCTGTACTGCTCTAACAATTAATTTTTTTCCTAATAGTCAGCTGAAATCTGGCCCCCTTTAGCTTAACCCCATTATGATGTGTCCTGCACTCTGAGATCATCAAGAACAGATCCTGCCCCTCCTCTGTAGGACTGCCTTTCAAGGATTTGAAAAGTGCTATCATATTTCCCCTCAGTCTTCTTTTCACAGGGCTAAACATGCCCAGTTCTTTCAGTCTCTCCTCCTAGGGCTCACTTTCCAGTCCCCTGATCATCCTTGTTGCCCTACTGAACTCGTTTCAGTTTGTTGATATCCTTCTTCAATGTGGTGTCCAGAACTAAACACAGTACTCTAGATCAGTGGTTCTCAAATTTGGGGCTCCGGATGTTCTTGAACTGCAACTCCCAGAAATTCTGGCCAGCAGTTAGTGGTGAAAGCTTCTGGGAATTGCAGTCCAAGAACATCTGGGGACCCCAGTTTGAGAACCACTGCTCTAGATGAGGCCTAATCAGTGTCAAAAAGAACAGAACTAATACCTCATGGAATCTGGAAACTAAACTGTGTGTAGGCATCCTTCAGTCTCGAGAGACTATGGGAATATGCTCCGAATAGAGGTCTTGGAACAGGATCTAATGTGGCTGAGAAGGGCAATTTGAGAGTGACCATCCCTTCCACACTGAAGACAAATCCAATCTGTCCCCTGTCCAGCTCCCTGATTTGGCTGCTTTCGGGACTGCCTCTTTGCCTCGGCCTGCTGGACAAGGGTCTCTTCCAATTGGGAGAGGCCATGATGCAACGCCTGCCTCCAGGCTTGAGCACTCAAATGGCAGGGTCTTCCATCTGTTGAGGTCCATTCCTAAGGCCTTCAGATCCTGCTTGCAGATATCCTTGGATCACAGCTGTGGTCTCCCTCTGGGGCGCTTCCCCTGCACTCATTCTCCATACAGGAGATCTTTTGGAATCCAACCACCAGCTACTGTATTTTCACGACATGCCCAAGCCAACATAGATGTCACTGTTTCAGTAACGTATACATACTAAAAATTCCAGCTCATTCCAGGACTACTCTGTTTGGAACTTTGTCCTGCCAGGTGATACCGAAAATGCGTCGGAGGCAACGTATATGGAACGTGTTCAGCTTTCTCTCCTGCCATGCACAAAGGGTCCAGGGCTCACTGCAGTACAGGAGTATGCCCAGGATACCGGCTCTATAGACCTGGATCTCGGTATATGCCGCCAGCTTCTTATTAAGCCATACTCTCTTTGTGAGTCTAGAGAACATGGCAGCTGCTTTGCCAGTGTGTTTATACAGCTCGACATCTAGGGAGAGAGTGTCAGACTAAACTATAGACTAAACTGTACATATGATTATGTGACTGCCACATTTTTAAACACAAATTGACCTCTAGCACGTGGTATGAGAAAAGGACCTAAATATGCAGTGCCAGCATGGGCTGACATTGGCTATCACTATATCAGGAGTTCACTGCCTAGAAATGTTCCTTTTTTAAGACAACACGGCCATCATTCTTGTTGGCTTGGGGATCCCAAGACTTGTCCAAGAGACTATTTTTCCCCCTGGTCCACAAAGTATGATTGCAGCAGACGGAAACCAGACAGTGGCTTAACCAGACTTGTGAACTGATTACCTGTGGGACAGAATGGCGTTGGACCGGGGCGCTGGAATGCTCTGCTGCACCTTTGTATGTCTTTGTCAAGTGTCTGGTGGCCACACAGGCTTTCTATCTTTGGGCAACGTGGCGGCAGCAGGCAGGACTGGCAGAACCACAGAAACAAGTTATGCAAGAACCTGAGATGCCAAAATGCCAAGGACAGGGCCTGTCTCAGATTTCTCCAAGCAAAGATTTCAGATTCCATGAAGCAGAAACGCCGCCCGAACACCGGTGAACCTGAGTACAAAAGCGGGCTGTGTAATCCGTTTACGGAAGCAAAGTGTAAGTATGTATTGACAGCAGTTATGTAGTATCATTTAGAAAAAAAATTAAAAGTACTAATGCATTGGTTGATATGTGGAGCACTACTGGTTGATCTTTACAAGCACTATTTATGTTGCTGTTTCTGTGTACTGGATTTTAAAAGTTTATCAAGCTGTGTTTGTATTCCATAGAATACATGGCAGATAATAATAATCTTGGAACTAAGGAGCTGGAAGGGACCCTGCGGATCAGCCCCTGTCAAGGAGGCACAGTGGGAATTAAACTCATAACCTTTGGCTCCACATCCAGAGACCTAATCCACTGAGCAATCCAGCAGTTCTATAAATACCTCTAGAGGTGGTGAGTGCTCCAACATTGGAGGCATTCAAGAGAAACTTTAGACAACCCTCCGGCAAACATCCTTTGATTTGTATTTGTATTCCTGCCTTGAGCAGGGGGTGGGACTCCATAGCCTTATAGGCACCTTCCGACTTCATGATTCTATGAAATAAATTATAGAAGCAAAATAGCAAAGGAAGCAAAGGTACTGATCATTTACTGTGCTGTAATTGAGCTGCTCAGAACACAAGATGCAAGAGAGAGGGAGGTTTAATTTGCCCACAGCAGCAAAAAGGTCCTGCACCAACCCTGACCAAATTGACGTTGAGGCACAAGCAACGTCTGAAGTGCACAGCCAATGTCCAGACAGACTACCGTATTATCCTGTGTATAAGACACCCCCATGTATAAGACCCCCCTTTTCTAATCCAAAATTAAGAAAAATAAGCGGGGCTTAGCAAGTGTAGGGGGAAAGGGATCAAAAGTGCTACAGGATCACTTTGATCCCTACTTTCCCCTCCACTTGTTTTTGTTCTCTCCTCAGCTTACTTCCGTGTATAAGACAAGCCTCAATTTTTAGTCTAAAGATTTTAGACAAAAGTATAGTCTTATACATGGAAAAATACGGTAATTATACAGTACTGTAATTTCAAGCACAGGATTCATGCTGATTAAAAGAGCATTCAGCAAACGCCCTGGAATAAGAACTCTGCAAAGTACAGAATCCTTATCCTTTTTTTTTTTTTGAAACAATGGCTTAAGCAGCTTTCAATACAGAACCCCCAAAGGGGCCACGGAGCAACAGCGTCACTGGCCTCCTGGCCCCAACACAGAACCTCAGAGGCTAAAAGGCAGGAAAGTCTTTGTAATGTGTATAGAAACTCCTTGGTATCCTTAAGAAGGCCCTTTCCCAAACATTACCATTTTTGAATGGGTATATACACATGTGTAATGAAACATATATTCAATGCCTGCTTTGTTGGATGAACGAAACCTTTTCTGCTGACTTAAAAAGAATTACATCTTTTATAGGCCTTCCAACTCCATTATTCTAGGATTCTAGGATTCTACAAGGGAAAGTATCTTCTAAGGTAATGACTACTACAAAATATGCATAAGCACCACTACTATAACCCAATGCAAGTCCTAACAATGATTTTCCAGATTTCTGCTTTATTCCTTTACAAACTTACACAGATTGTACCAGTTTAACTGACAAGTCTTAGAATTCATTACATGCAAATCTTCAGCCAGGTGACATAATGGCTGAAATCCTGTTGCACAGCACAAGAAAATCAGTTATTTTCAGCCCACTCTTGACTAGCAATTAAAGAACTCCCACTGTGTTTCTTGGAATATGCTCTTTTAATTTTCCAGGTAGGAACAGAATGCAAATTACCCTTTCTATTATGCTAACCCAAAGGATTTCAGCCAATATAACAACAGAGGTTTAATCCCACTGGCATTTGTTAACGGCACTTTCCCACGGAAGCATTCCAATCCTAACCTACATTTTGCCAACCCAAAATTTTCCTGAAGCACTGCACGCAGAACAAGCACAACGGTTAAGAGGACATACAAAGAGGACAGGGAATATGAAAGAATGTACGAGGCAAGGTGAAAATGTTAAAAAAGAAGAAGGTGGTGCAGGAACTTACATATTCATCATCACACGGGCTCACACAGCAATATCCCTTTAGGGGTAAACAGGCAGACATTAAAATAAAAGAAACGGAGAGAAAAAAAAGCATTAAGAGAAGTTACACAGAGATGATCAGCAGTGTTTTTTAAAAAAGTAACATAGCCCCCTCTAAATTAAATTGTGTTAAAGGGTAAGAGAAAACCGTTTTTGCTAAGAGAGGTACGTCTGTGTGTTGACTGCTTTGTATCAGGACTGATACAACGGCACCAACAACATAAAAACAAATGGCGAACAGGATGTTCCCTTCCTTAGACAGATGGCAGTCCTTCCGGGAAGCTAGGTGCCCATGAACTTAAATCTAAACGGGGAGCCTGAATTACACTCAATTACTGTAGCTGGATTTGAAGTGACACGCTACGACGCTGCGTCTATGTTTCCAACGGCACCAACAACGTAAAAACAAATGGCGAACAGGACGTTCCCTTCCTTAGACAGATGGCAGTCCTTCCGGGAAGCTAGGTGCCCATGAACTTAAATCTAAACGAGGAGCCTGAATTACACTCAATTAGCTGGATTTGAAGTGACACGCTACGACGAAGGAGGCTACCCAAAGAGCTGTGCCATAGCTTTTCTCGAAACCGCTGAGTGAATCATCAACCAAAATTCGCTATTCACTGGTAGGCAAATTCCATATTGTGTTACCTTCAGAGTCCAACAGTAAATGCAAAGGAACAAAGGGCTCCTTTGGCAGTTATATAAACAGGCCATCAAATATAATCTCAACCAAGTTAGCTTCATTTCTCCCTCCTTAGGAACAGGATCATGCAACAGCCGAATTTTGTTTACGCCTACCTGGAGGTGACGTTTCACTGCCCTTAATGGGTAATGCTTTAAAGCAAGAAGATGATGGACTAACTGGATCCCCAAAAAACACAGCCTTTCTATGTTACACCCCATCGTCCAGTAACGAAATCCTTCTTCATGCACAAGATAGGTCACAGTGCTAGAAGGTGACCAAACAGGATCAGCCAAATTTTGTGTACACCTACCTGGAGGTGACATTTCACTGCCCTTAATTGGAAAGGCTCTAAAGCAAGAAGATGATGGACTGACTAGATCCCAAAAAGCAGCCTTTGCATGTTACACTCCATCTTCCAGTAACAAAATCCTTCTTCATGCGCAAGATAGGTCACAGTGCTAGAAGGTGACCCAGAATCATCATTTTCTTGTTGTTTCCCCTTTCCTACCGGCTGTTAAACAGCATCATAACCATTCTGACCCTGGATCCAGGCAATCTAGACAATGATGCTATGGTACCTCCACACTAGCCTCAAGGCTCTGCAGCCAGCCAGTTCTTCTCCTTCCGGAACACCTCTTCCTGTTTATTTTACTATGATTGATCAGTTGTAACCGTCTGTTTTGTTTTGTATTTCATTATTCAGAGCTGTTAAACAGCATCATAGCCATTCTGACCCTGGATCCAGGCAATTTATTTATTTATTTATCTATCTATCTATCATTGGTCATCCTCTTGGAAGGAGGAAATCTTCAGCACTGTCAGTTAAATCCACGTTTATCATGTGTCTGTCTTTTTCCTACTATCCTGTTTGAAGTCCACATCCTATGCCATGTAGTACAACCAAGAGTATTATATGTAGCACCATGCAATGTAGACTATCAAATCCAGATGTAAGTTTTTATAGTACAGTATGCTACATTCTTCACCTTAAGAAAGCTGTTCTGGGCCATCTCAGTTCAGAGTTCTACTGTGTGTGGATATGATCCCAGGGTTCAAATCTCTCAGTACTCATATCTGCATGGTCTAATTCTAAATCCCCACCTGCACTTCTTGGGCTGCTTGTTGTTCAGTGATCCAAATCTAGACAACGATGCTATGGTACCTCCACATTAGCCTCAAGGCTCTGCAGCCGGACAGTTCTCCTTCCGGAACATCTCTTCCTGTTTATTTTACTATGAATGATCATTTGTAACTGTCTGTTTTGTTTTGTATTTCATTATTCAGACAAAGCATTCCATCTTCCTTGGTCTTTCTTCATTCACTCATCCTCTTGATCCAGGAACTCTTTAGCACTGTCTGCTAAATCCACAATTATAATGCTTCTTTTTCCTACTATCCTGTTTGAAAGTCCACATCCTTAGTACAACCAAGAGTACTGTATGTACACCATGCAATGTAGATTATCAAATCCAGACAGAAGTTTTTGTTCTATGTTACATTCTTCACCTGAAGAAAGCTATTCTGGGCCATCTCAATTCAGAGTTCTATTGTGTGTGGATATGATCCCAGGGTTCAAATTTCTCAGTACAGCCATGCCCCGCTGGATGATTACCCCACTCTACGACGAATCTGCATTACATTGATGTTTTTGCTATTGCAAAAGCGATCGCAAAAGGATGGTTTAAATGGCGGAATTTCGCTTAGCGATTATTGGTTCCCTGCTTTGGGAACCAATTTTTTTGCATTACGACGATCAGCAAACAGCTGATCGTTGGGTTTCAAAATGGCCACTGGCTTTCAAAATGGCCCCCCGCTGTTTTCTAGGACGGATTCCTCACTTTACAGGCACCGAAAATGGTCGCCGTATGGAGGATCTTTGCTGGATGAGCAGGTATTCAGCCCATTGGAACACACTGAACGGGTTTTCAATGCGTTTCAATGGGATTTTTTCATTTTGTGTAATGATGTTTTGGCTACAGCGATTTCGCTGGAACAAATTAACATTGTCAAGCGAGGCACCACTGTACTCATATTTGCATGGTCCAATTCTAAATCCCCACCTGTACTTCTTGGGCTGCTTGTTGTTCAGTGATCACTGTGAATGTTCCTTTATTATCATTCATTTTTACACCATCCTCCTTGCTTAATTATTTACGTGAGTAACTATCTAGATTTTCAAACTGTATCATCTATGTATTAGATGATGAAGGTAAAGGTTCCCCTTGACATTTATCCAGTCGTGTCCGACTCTAGGGCACGGTGCTCATCCCCGTCTCCAAGCCGCAGAGCCAGCATTTGTCCAAAGATAGTTTCCGTGCTCACGTGGCCAGCCCGACTAGACATGGACTGCCGTGACCTTCCCACCGTGGTAGTACCTATTTATCGACTCGCATTTTTACATGCTTTCGAATGGCTAGGTTGGCAGGAGCTGGGACAAGAGACAGGAGCTCCCTCTGTTGTGTGGATTCAATCTTACGATGACTAGTCTTCTGACCTTCTAGCACAGAGGCTTATGCAGTTTAACTCACAGCGCCACCACATCCTCTATGTATTAGATACCATTGATCACATCCACATTGATGATGATACCATGACTTGAATCAGTAACTGATGTTCTGATGTTCCTGGAGTACGAACTAAAAAGCATCATCTTCTATATATAACCATGGCCTACATAAACATCATTGTCTATATCAGCTGAATCCTTCCCTGAATGTTAACAACAGGATACCAGGATGGTGGCTTCTTATCCATATCATTCCTAAATACAAACAACAGAAATATGTTTCTATGTCATGAATGTCATGATCAGAACTGGGGCTCACTGATGTCCATTGGGGCAAGCACAGGAGAACCTCTCCACAGATCCAATCCACAGCATGACAATAATAATCACTGTCTCTCCAAAGTGCACCATATGTTCCCCCCTAACTTGCCTCACTTACAACACCTTGACCCCAGCTTTTTGTAGTCTAATGGCATGCCTGCCAGCCAGCCAGCCTGCCTACCTGCCTCCCTCCCTCCCTTCCTAACTAGAGGATCAAATCTTAAGAAATGTATTTGCTGACTGTGCACTACTGAGCATCAGGGAGAAAATTTCTAGCCCAGCCCACTCTGTAATCTACTCTCTTTCTGACTTCAGGGAGTTTCTAAATGGCCCACGGCCACACATTCATTTGAGGTATTCTACCACCTCATTCAACTGAATGGTGACCAGGCCTTCTATTGCATAATTTCACTTCCATGCTGAACATGGAAAATAAGGCATGCAACCCTGCAAACCACTGTACTTTTCTTCAGCAAACCCTTCTACGTCACTAAAAAGTCTGAATAATCCTCCTCCATTGACAGACATTGGACCAATAACTATCATTTTCCCCGAAATCACATGTCCACAAATCAAAAGTGATTAATCAGTCAGAGCTTTTTTAAACCTTTTAAAGATTAAAGTAACCACAATTAAATTGATTGATTCAAAATATTTTTACCTTGCCTGCCCCCTTTAAAAAGCCTCGAGGTGGCTTACAGCATCAAAACACATTATTTAAAAGCTAAAAACAATATAGATACACATATTTAAAAAGAATCAGATCTCACACTAAATATGTTATTCAGGAGTTTCCCGTAAACAAAGTTTGTTGATGCCTACTTCATTCATCAGCTGAATGACAAACCAGGTCTCTGTGAAAATTAAAATAAGGGTCTCTCCACAATTACTTTTTTAAAATTTATTTTGCATCATTTGTAGGTTGCCAAGGCAACTCACAAGGTTAAATCAAGTAATATTAAAAGTTCAAAAATTACGGATTAAAAAAAAAACTACTCTTTGCTATTTGAAACTAAAACGAAATTTACTGTTGCTAGATTATTAGGCATACCCTTGGAATTTATGCACCTGCTATAAGTAGAAGGTACAGGAAAAGAAACAACAAAGGAAAGTATATTTTTTCTGCAAAAGATTAAGCAACTTAAACATTAATCTAAAAGCAATGTGAGCTTTATTTATCTTTAGTCACAAGAGGAACAAGAGACACACCTTTAAGCTCTCAAGCACTGCCAGTGTCATTAGGGAAGAACATTTCACCTTAAACTCAAGAATTTCAAATACTCTCCAGTGGACTGACTAACTTATTTCAACCTACCTGAGAATTTCTCTGCTAACATTCAAAATGTCCATCCGCAGGACAGAGCTAGGAAAGTTATTTTAAAAAGTAATTACAGTTGTAGTACCGTATGAATACAAAATTAAGGAGGCAGTAGTTCATTACTACTCTGACCTCATCAAAAGTAGCATTTTGATTTCTGTTTTCTCAAAAAAAAAAACTAAAATAGTAGCTTTTTGGCTGCTTACAGATAGCAGAATACTCCAAGCTCTTGGCCCGTGATATAAAATTTACCTCTCCTCACCTCTACCAGTGTTAATCTGGCTAATGAAGCAATCAATCAGGTTGCCTTTCGTGTGGCCACATTCCTCATAACTACAAAAGTAACTCAAATATCAAAGTTACACTACTAAAGGAGTGTAGTTGTCCTCTGGACTGCTTTCTGTATTACTTGACATATTTTTGTTAGGATTTTGATAGATTCAGTCTCTGTAACCTGAAACAGTTATAATAGTATGCCATCTAACTCCGGCTGATTTATTTCTTCCAAGTGCTTTTAGAGCAGTTTTCACTTCCTAAAACTGTAGGTTTCTCCTTACAGGATCCTTTTGTAAAGGGATCTCTCATCCTTGCATTTCTTTGGTATAAGACTTCAGTACACTGTCTCCCATCATCTCTTTATTTTATCCTGATTACGTAGATAGCATGTTTCTTACAGCATCCCTATTTTAGATCTGAATTTCCCTTTGATTTTTTTTGGAACTTATGAAAGAGACTTCTTGCTTTTCCTTTATTGTTGTTCTCTTCTTTGCATAGGTTATTATAACAGGTTTTATCTCTATGTGACAGCTGTTGAAAAATTGCCTTTAAGATTCTGACTCTGTTTTTGCTACCTTTTATTTTTGATTCTCACCTTTCCTTAGCAATGGTCATTGTTTCACCATCAAGGCTTTTCTTTTCTTTTGACTACAGGAATGCTCTACAAGGAAAAAAAAATAAGTACCCAGCTCGCTGGGGGGGCAATGTGTAGCCTGTATAATTAAATTGTAAACCACCCAGAGAGTGCTTGAAGTGCTATGGGGTGGTATATAAGCAGCAACAAGGAAAATAAAATGAGTACCCAGCTCGCTGGGGGGGGGGGGCAATGTGTAGCCTGCATAATTAACTTGTAAACCGCCCAGAGAGTGCTTGAAGCACTATGGGGTGGTATATAAGCAGCACGCTTTGCTTTTGCTTTGCTTTTGCCTTGTGTCCTTTCCAAGGAGAAAGGCAGGGTACAATATTTTAAATACTTACCGACTGACTGACTCTTCTAAGAGGACAACCATTGACAAACCCTAGTGTTCAGCTGCCCATGGGAGAAATGAAAATAACGTATGACAACTTCTTCCTGTATGCAAGCAGTTGGCTTCTGACAGGGCCTGGACCAACCTTTTACATGGTGTGCTTGTTCTCAACAGGCTAACCAAAGGATGCCCAGCTTAGCTTCTTTCTATTTTGCACGATCTCCTGCTTCTCAGACAGTTACAAGCAGAAGTCGCAATAAGCCGCTTGTGACCACAGACTCATTCCTATCCTTACAACTTCTTCCTGTATGCAAGCAGTTGGCTTCTGACAGGGCCTGGACCAACCTTTTACATGGTGTGCTTGTTCTCAACAGGCTAACCAAAGGATGCCCAGCTTAGCTTCTTTCTATTTTGCACGATCTCCTGCTTCTCAGACAGTTACAAGCAGAAGTCGCAATAAGCCGCTTGTGACCACAGACTCATTCCTATCCTTTCCGTCACAAGCAGAAGTCGCAATAAGCCACTTGTGACCACAGACTCATTCCTATCCTTTAGCAAAACAGAATGTTCATAGAGTACTGAATCAGATGCTTCTCAACTTGAAGTGGAACAGAAAAGGAGTGCAAGTAAAGAGTGGAGCTGAAGGCACTGCAGGTATATCTCAACGTTCAGCTGTTGATATGAGATCTATCACATACAGTTTTCTTTAGGTACGTATACTGTATGTCCTTTAAAAAATGAATGGTACAGCTTTCTTTAGGTATACTGTATGTCCTTTAAAAAATGAATGTTCTTGCAGGCATAGTCATTTTTCTTAAATATAATGGAAGTGTATATGCTACTATCTTTACAAATATTCTACAGGTAGTCCAATAAAATAATTTCCGCATAACATTTTGAATGCGTTTGAATAGAACGTTTAAACCAAGCATGCTAAATCAGATAAATTTAGAACACGGGCAAGTGATGAACGCATGGCACTCTTATCTCCAGCCACCGTTGTGTTGATCAAACCAGATGAAAACCACAGAGCGCTTTAAACCTTTCCCGCTTTAAACCCACACTGCCAACTAAAAGATGTAAAGAGGTTGGTACAGGAGGCCTTTGCGACACACTGCGGAGTGACAGTTCTACTCTCATCAAGACTTAAAGGCCTCGGGGAAGGAAAACATCACTCCTGGGAACAAGGAAAAGCTTCTGTAGATTTTTACATTCTCCCAGAAACATAAAGTACATGCACTTTCATTTACAGTGGTGCCCTGCTAGACGATTACCTCACGAAACGGTTAATTCACTAGATGATGAGTTTTTGAGATCGCTATAGCGCTTCACAAAACAGTGTTTCCTATGGGCGATTTTCGCTGGACGATGTTTCAGACTGTGCTTTGCAAGATGGTTTTTTTTGGGGAGACCGATTTTCGCAAGACGCTGATTTTGACAGCTGAGTCCGCGACTCACAAAACGTTTCAGACCGTGCTTCACAAGATGGGTTTTTTTGGGGGGGACCGATTTTCGCAAGATGCTGATTTTGACAGCTGAGTCTGCAACTCACAAAACAGGTGTTTTCGGGACCGCTTTTCGCAAGACAGCAATTTTTTACAGCTGATCCGCGCTTCGCAAAACGGTTTCTCTATGGGTGGTTTTCGCATAACGACAATGATTTTTCCCCACTGGAACACATTAAATGGATTTCAATGCATTCCAATGGGGAATCGCATTTTGCAAGACAATGTTTTCACAAGACAGCGATTTTCGCTGAACGAATTAATATCGACTTGCGGGGCACCACTGTATTCATTTTATTTATATACCATCCCATTAGGGACGGATTATTCTGGACAGTTTACAAGTTAAAACTTGCAAGTCCTGGAGACCCTGCATGGCTAGCATTCTCTTTGTGTGTGCAATATACGTGTATATATAACATATAGATATCCAGGACGTGCGAGTTTTAACTTGTAAACTGTCTATAGTAGCGCATGCCCTAATGGGGTGGTTTTTCAGTTTCTTGAACATAAGGAGGGAGGGAGCCTGTTGTATCTCTGCTGGTAACGTATCCCAGAGAATGGGGGCCACCACCAAGAAACCCTGATTCCTCGTTTTTGCCTTTCTGACCTCTTCGGTGTGGCCACATTTACCACCATGGATTGAGAAAGAGTGAGTCCTAGAGAATGGGGGCCACCACCAACAAACCCTGATTTCTCGTCTTTGCCTTTCTGACCTCTTCGGTGTGGCCGCATTTACCACCATGGATTGAGAAAGAGTGAGTGAAACGGGTAGCTGATTTCTGGGAGACACGTTCCCACAACTATGGAAGTCCTAAACCCTTTATAGATTATGATGACCTTTACAGGTCATAATTTATAAAGTCACAACTTTCCCACCAGAGAGATCAAGCAGGATCAGGAGCCTTGTTAGGATGAGTCATAAACTCATAAGAGGTTGCTTTTGCTCCTTTGCAATCTCAGATTCCAGTCTGGAAATGAACATAGGGTGCCCTATCACACATTACTGTTTTGTTTTATAATCAAACAAGGTAAACGCTGTAAAAGTCTTTACACATGGAAAAGCGGAACACATGGGGAACAAGCACTACACCAGAAATTCTCACAGAAAAATCTGGTATTCTGTTTTATAAGAGCTGCCAAAAAAAATGACATGGCTTGAAGTCACCAGCACATGACGATGCCATTACATACTGTATTTATGCACCTTTGAAAAAGAAGTTTACTGCTAAATCTTAAACCTCTCATCCTATAGGCACCAGGACAAAAAGATGCCTCCCTTTTTGACAAAAAGACACGTAGAAGACTCTACTTACTGTTCCAGGCCTTGTGAAGTCTATGCTGTGGGCTATGCTCTGTCTCATCTGGTTGCTAAACAAACGAACGCAGACACTCTGTAGATATTCTGGGGTGATCTATCAGAAGGAAACAAAACCAAGTGGGAAGTTAGACCTTTCTTCTTTGACCATTTTATACACACAAGGAGTACCTCTAAGAAGGTACCGAGAATTCAACAGAATCCAACTCTAGGTAAGTTTGGGAACAGACAACCAACCTAAACATTGGAAAGATATACACACAAGGAGTACCTCGTACCAAGAATTCAACAGAATCCAACTCTTGGTAAATTTGGGGACAGACAACCAACCTAAACATTGGAAAGATAAGAATGCACTGGTCACATCGGAGAAAGAGTGTGTGTTCTGCATGAATTAGATATTGTATGTTTCTGGACCCATGTCATGTTATACAGCTGGACCCAGATACACTGGATAGATAGGTGAACTATTATGTGCAGGGGGGCTAAAGAAATGGCATCAACACAAAGACCACATAAAGCTTGAATGTTCAAATTTTAAGTATGTACAGCTGGATCCATAGGACGTTCACTGTATACAGTGGTGCCTCGCTTAGCGAGGTTAATCCGTTCTGGATTAACCCTCGCTCAGCAAATCCATCGTTAAGTGAAACAAAAAAGCCCATAGGAACGTATTAAAACTGATTTAATACGTTCCTATGGACTTAAAACTCACTGTTCTGCGTTGATTTGACTTCAGCAAAATTGAAGCACCGCTTATGTACCCAGTGTGGTGTAGTGGACGGAGAGCGTACGACTGAGGAGGCCTGGGTTCCAATCCCTGCTCAGTTATGAAGGCTCACGGGGTCTGTGAAACTGGAAAAACCACTCCTTAAATATCTCACTTACCTTGAAAGCCCTATTAGAGATGTTATAAATCGGTTCTGACCTGATGACACATAACAATGAAATAAAAAGGGGAAAAATCATTTGAAATGTGGTGATGGAGGAGAGGCAGTGGAAGATAGGAGGGCCTGGCATGCTCTGGTCCATGGGGTCACGAAGAGTCGAACACGACTAAACGAACGATGGAGGAGAGCTTTGTGCAGGGCCGGACTGGCCATCTGGCAATTCTGGCAAATGCCAGAACGGCCGATGGTCAGAAGGGCCGGTTCCTGCCTCAGCGCAGGGCCAGGCTGAGCCCCCCAAATGAAATCAAGCCTGAACTATCTCTGGAGGCCAAAATGATGAAACTGAGGCTGGCCTACTTTGGGCACGTCACTAGAAGGCAGGATTCTCTGGAAAAGATAAGACTGCTGGGAAAGGTGGAAAGGCAACAGGAAAAGAGGAAGGCCCAATACGAGAGTTATAAATCGGTTCTGACCTGATGGCACATAATAATGAAATAAAAAGGGGAAAAATCATTTGAAATGTGGTGATGGAGGAGAGGCAGCGGAAGATAGGAGGGCCTGGCGTGCTCTGTTCCATGGGGTCACGAAGAGTAGGACACGACTAAACGACTAAACGAATGATGGAGGAGAGCTTTGTGGATACCCTAGATTGCCAGAAAAGACAAACAGGTGGGTCCCAAATGAAATCAAGCCTGAACTATCTCTGGAGGCCAAAATGATGAAACTGAGGCTGGCCTACTTTGGGCACGTCACTAGAAGGCAGGATTCTCTGGAAAAGATAAGACTGCTGGGAAAGGTGGAAAGGCAACAGGAAAAGAGGAAGGCCCAATACGAGAGGACTGACTCCCAAAAGGAAGCCACGGGCTTGAGTCTGCAGAAACTGAGCAGGGCGGCTGAGGACAGGCCCTTCTGAATGAAGGTCACTCATTCATGGGGTTGCCAAAAGTCGGGGCTAAGTCAACGGCACATCACAACAACAATCCTCCAGCTCAAGGTTCGCAAAGGCTTCCCAAGGTCAAAAGGGATGCCAAGGTAGCCTCAGGAACTAAGGGAGGGGAACAGAGAGGAAACAGCTAATGAAAGAAGCTTATGGCTGACGAGATCATCAGCTGGCACAGGTGTCAATTTATGCAACACTACTTAGGCCCCAGAATTATTCAACAAAAAATTCAGACGCTGGGGGAGCATTTTATCCAAAGCAGCAGCCGGGTTAGTCTGCCTCAGCATGTTGGGAAACCTAAAGGGGGAAAAGAAAAAAGAAAAAGGCAAAATACGGAGGCAGCTCATATACTGATACTTAAAGTTCTACCACATTTGGTCTTTCCTTTCTTTGATTTCCCCCAATACGTCTGCCAGGTTGATTAGAAAAGTAACCTTTGGATTTCAGATGGGGGCCACTCCTGTCCAAATGCATCTCCACTGACTTGCTCGCTAGGGCTTTTCTGCTTGGGTGGGATATATTTTTGTCTGCTCGTGTGCTCCGTTAGAGGTGGGAGTGCCTTCTGGGAGAAAGAGCCAGCCTGGGTGGCCTTGGGCCAGCTGCACCGTCCCCAGAGTGCCCCCTAGAGGAAGGGACGGGAGTCTAAAGGCCATTAGTCAGACTCAACGATGGCACACAATTATTATTATTATTATTATTATTATTATTATTATTATTATTATTATTATTATTATTATTATTATTATTATTATTATTATTATTATTATTATTATTATTATTATTATTATTATTATTATTATTATTATTATTATTATTATTATTATTATTATTATTATTATTATTATTATTATTATTATTATTATTATTATTATTATTATTATTATTATTATTATTATTATTATTATTATTATTATTATTATTATTATTATTATTATTATTATTATTATTATTATTATTATTATTATTATTATTATTATTATTATTATTATTATATTATCCTAATGCTGTGGCTTCTTCTGAAGAGGTTGCCACATAAAGCTTCTTGGTTCATGGAGATGAGTGAGAAAAGCTAAGCTTTCTGGCTTGATTGATCATTTATTTATTTATTTGGCACTATGAACCTATCCCTCTGTAAACTCCAAGATCATACAGCTCAGTTTGACGCAATTGCATGTCATTTCCAGAACTCCTTTGAACTCAGGTAGAAAAATCCGCCAATTCAACTAAACAGCACCACCACCTGGTCAAGTCTGGGGGCGGAAAAATTCTGAAATGAGTGCGTGTTCCCACCGCATACAAGATCGCTGAGTTCCACAGTCGGCTCTCCCGCTTGGAGGAGAGAACAGTCGCTCCCCAGGGAGTTAACCTATCAGAGCCGCCTTCCCACGAACTCCCGTTATTGCTGCAGCAATAAAGAATATATAAAAAGTAGCTGTGCTTATTTCGCTGCTGGATTTTACCGGGACAATTCAGAGGAGGGATCCAACATGGATCCGGTTAACTGGGCGCACTCGGATTACAACTGTGCTTCCGCGATTACTTTAGAGTCACCTGTTTCCCAAAGAAGGCCTTTAGGGAAATCCTGCAGAAACCTAACTGCCCTTAGGATAGTTAAGCAGCCCGCTCCACTCTTCTCCTGTAAAGGGTCACTTGACTTCTACATCCTGCTCTCATCGTAGGGTGAGACCTTCTTGCTCAGACTGGCTGGACGTCCAGTTTCAGACCCCAGGCAAAACAATCAGAAGTGGCTGATGGTAGCGGGGGAAAGAGTTTACAGGAGACGACAGGTAGCTATAAAAAGATTCTGTTTTAAGGATTCTCCTTGAGAAGAGCCTCCTCACCTCTACTTTTGCATTATAAGGAGAAGCGTGGTTGGGAACAAGGCCTTTGGCTTGTCACATCTGCCCTTAGGCCAAGGGCTAAACCCAGGAAAAAAGCAGGAACACCTCTCCGGCAGGCAGGCCACAGACTACGTACCTGTACATTCTCCTAAATAACACGGCTAGTTGACACCTAGGTTCCCTCCTCACTAGGACTTGACTAATGCCCCCATCCATGCTTTTCTAATAATAAAAGTCCAGAATGTGTCCGCTTCCAGTGTGCCGGCTGCAATATTCCGCACATTTATGGATGCCACGTAGATATTTGGTTCTCCCTTTTATGTAAATAATGAACATAAAAGAGTCATGGAGTCTATTAGGAAGTTGGCAGGCAGGCCACAGACTATGTACCTGTACATTCTCCTAAACAACACGGCTAGTTGGTTCTCCCTTTTATGTAAATAATGAATATAAAAGAGTCATGGAGTCTATTAGGAAGTAATTTATTACACGAAGGAGCTTCCACAGGCAAGAGGTTTGGCTAGGATTAATTATAATAATAATAGCATGTGCCACGCAGTTCTGACTTCTGACAGCCCTTTCCAGGTTTTTCAAGGTAGAGAATACACAGAAGTGGTCTATCATTCTAGTCCCCCCGGGACTACAGTGCAGCTGGCCCAAGGCTACACAGGCTGGTTCTTCTCCCTGGAGGCCCATCGAGGAATTAAACTCCCAAACTCTGGCTCTACAGTCAGATACCTGAACCACTGACTATGCGGCCAGCTTAATACGGGATTAATTAGCACGGGACTACGGTGCTGCTGGCCCAAGGCTACACAGGCTGGTTCTTCTCCCTGGAGGCTCATCGAGGAATCAAACTCCCAAACTCTGGCTCTACAATCAGATACCTGAACCACTGACTATGTGGCCAGCTTAATACGGGATTAATTAGCATATGAGTGAAAATCTTAAGGGATGTGGTGGCGCTGTGGGTTAAATCGCAGAAGCCTCTGTGCTGCAAGATCAGAAGACCAGCCGTCGTAAGATCGAAACCACGTGACAGAGTGAGCTCCTGTCGCTTGTCCCAGCTCCTGCCAACCTAGCTGTTCAAAAGCATGTAAAAATGCGAGTAGATAAATGGGTACCACCTCAGTGGGAAGGTCACGGCATTCCATGTCTAGTCACGCTGGCCATGTGACCATGGAAGCTGTCTTCGGACAAAATGCTGGCACTACGGCTTGGAAATGGGGATGAGCACCGCACCCTAGAGTCGGACACGACTGGACTAAATGTCAAGGGGAACCTTTCACCCCAGGAATCAACCTGAAATGAAAGAGGATACAACATATCCCAACTGCCAAATTTGGCCAGTTTCATGTTCCGTCTTACCATTTTGCCATTAACCGTGGCCTCGAGGGAATCCACCAACTCCGCCGTGACTCCAATGAGGTTGTGATAGTCTGCCTGGATTTTGTTGAACCGCTTGAGATAGGTCATGGTTTTGCGCTCAGACTCCACCAGCTGCTGATGTAGCTGCTGCAGCATCTCTGAGGAAGGGAAAGAAAAAGTAGCATTTGCCCCAAAGTATGGATGACGGACATAGGCCTGACATGAAAGTGGCCTCCACTTACAACTACCCTGGGTTTTTTGCAATGCAAGTGAGGAAATATACAGAAGTCATGCTGCTTGGCATCTCCTTATGAGAGGGCATTTATTCAATTTTGCAGCACCCACTATAGATGTCAGGTAAGATCGTGAACCTCTCAAGACACAGGCCAGAAGTAGGAGAATGTACTCTGCTACCTCTCGACAGCACCATCTCCCTAACCCCGAAACCAGACATAGCAAGCAGACAAGAGAATTTCTGCCCCTAAAACAGATCTTGACAATTTAATGGTCTTGCTGGAACATTCTGTCTCAAAGTCCGGTATATGTTGCTTAGCATTGTTAAGATGGCACTCATAAACAGAAACTAAGTATTTAATGTGGAAAAAAACACCCCAGGAATCAACTTTTATTGCTGACATTAAAACAGAACCAGGGCTTCCATTCCCTAGATGGGATCACGCTATGGACCAACACTTCCAATGTGATATACCATCATTTTCAAAAGATGGATGGGAAGCCATGTACGATTCCAAGAATCATCATCCCAACAGAGAGAAGCAACCCACATTCATCTTTCTGCAAGGTGCCTTCAAAGATACCCAAGAGCTTCAACTTTCACCGGGTGTGTGTGTGTGTGTCCCTGAAATGTGCTTCAGAACTCATTAAGATGCACATTACTTGACCCATAGAAGCACACTTGGTTTTGCCCAGACATGCAAATTCTCGGGGCCAATTCACGCTTATGGAAATCAACCTCTGCCTTTTCTTCGCAGAGGCCACGGCCCACAGCCCTCATGGGCTAACATCATGGCTGGTCTGAGGCCAGCTCGGAGTCCACACTGGACAAAACCACCCAATGGGATCTCCAAGCTCTCCCTCACCACCATGCTGACGCCATCTGCAAACGAAACACAATCACTCCCATGCTTCCAACAACCGCTCTCTGACAGCAATGTCATGAAACGCCTCTTTTCTCAGTGCGAGGCAAAGAGCCTCCCATCTCAGGTGTGGCCAGAGACTGCTGCTGGCCCCCAGCCAAGGAACGGGCAAGTGGGAAGCACCAGCAGGAGCGCTTAGCCCAGGGTGGAGAAGAGAAATGGCCAGGCAACATGGCTGTAGCCGTTGCCACCATCCCCATCCCCACCTTCCTCCTCCTCCTCCCAGAATCCTCCTCCTCCGGGGATCAAGAGACATTCGGGGCAAAGAACAGCGAACTTTGTCGCCTCAACCAGCCCTTCTTTTCAATGGGGGCTGTTCTTAACTTGGAGAAAAGAGACAAGAACCACACAGCTGACCTGAGAGGGCCACCTGGAGCCCCAGAACTTCATCAGTCACTCCCAATCCTAATGTGAGGTTTGTGTCAGCAACCCTTTGCCTGCCCGAATAGCTTTTGCAGCTTTAAAAATTGTAATAGAGACACTCAGTGAGCTTTTCCTTGCCTCAGCCTACAAGAAAGTTGAACTTTAAAGGTCTTTTTTGACAAAGCAATGACTGACAAAGAGCAATATGCTCCCTTCTCTCCTGTTCTCACGTCCTTCATCAGCTTCAGCACACCGGGAATATCAGGAGAGTTTCCAAGGATATTTTCAAGTTTCCTTTTCCTTCATCTGAAAAGCACTTTCCCCACCACCAGCCCAATTTTATCCTGATCACCAAAGGAACGGCACAACTACAGCCAGCGAATGCTCCCTAAACCGTTTTGCTCTACATGTCACAGCTGAGCCACATCATCTTTCCAGGTTTCCTGGATCCTTGCAAAGATCCCGGG